AAGAGGGGGCAGTGCTGGAGAAGGGCGCTAATGCACAGACGGGGACATGTTCTCATGTGCTGCAGCACAGCGGGGGACTGCAACTTAGTCTATTACATGCTTTATGGAGGGCCAGAGGGAAGAGCTACAGCCTTAGCAGAGAAACGGTGTTTAGGGAGATGGAAATGCTGACCATTACACATGTATGCATCTATCTATCACCCTGCACCCCATACATTTGTATATGTCAACTAAAAATGTTGACGACCCGCGCTGGAGAGGCTCAGCAGCGAGGAGTGCTGTTCCTGTGGAGGACTGGGGTTTGGTTCGCGGCACCCGCGTGACTCACCACCATCTCTAACCCCAGTCCCAGCAGATCCGCTGCCTTCTTCTGACCGCTATGAGCACCAGGCAGGCTCGCACGTGGTCTGCAGCCACACATGCAGGCAAAGCACTCATGTTCGTAAATTTTAAACACATGGAAAACAATTTCAAGTGGTAAAAACAAAAAAACAAAAACAAAAACAAAAACAAAAATTCAAAATAAATGGAAGTGCTCAGTCTTTCAAAGAAGAAAAGTGTTAGGTTCTTGCAACTTCGAAGGAGCACAGGGCTTTCCTGTCCTTTCAGGGATGCCTGCACATGGACCCCGCCGAGAGGCTGACGTGTGAACAGCTGTTGCAGCATCCATACTTTGACAGCATGCGAGAAGCTGGGGATTTGACGAGACAACATGACAAACCGGCCAGGAAGACCCTGAGACCGAGTCGAAAGCACCTGACGGGGGTAAGACTGGCATACTGCCTTACACAAATATCCAAGGGGCCAGCTTCACGTCACCTCACGCCTCTCAACTGGGTTGGAACTCAGGCTGAGTGACAACTGTAGCTTGCAGCCCCAGCATCCTCAGGCCAGAGGTAGGAGACAGCTCAGCACAATTATCAACCAGGGCCTCAGAGACATCTGTTTCTTAAGGCCCTTCCTTTCCTGAATCCTGAAGTTGTCCTTGCCAGGCTGTTCCTGCTACACAGGAGCCAAGCTGTCTGATGTGCATGACCTCAGGCTGCAGGCCGGTATGTCATTGTGCACTCAGCTAAGCATGTTTCCCAGACTTTGGAGAATGAAGTCAGGTTACTCCAAAGTAGGCCTTGTCATGTTACCTCCAGAGTTAGCCCTATAGGCTTCTCCCCACAGGGAATTGTTTTCCCTTCTGCCTTGTCAGAGCTGGTGAAGATGGACACAGCCACAGGGCCTACTGGACAGCTGCACCATAGCATATTTAACCAGAGAACAGGATCTGTCCACACACATGGATCAGTGGAGAGTCCTGACTGCTGTAAGTGGCTACACAGCCTTAAATTAAATGGCAAAAATCTGTAGTAACCTAAAATCTAGTTGAGCCACAGCTAAGATGGGTTGGCTGTTCCTGACCACTTTTGGATCCATGAAGATACATAAGCTTCAAATTATCTTGCCTCAGTGCCTTAGTTACTCTTCTGCTGCTTTGAAGAGATGCCAAGAGCAAGACAACTTATAAAAGAAAGCGTCAGTGTCCGAGGGTGAGTCCAGAACCGTCTTGGTTGGGAGGATGGCGGCAGGCAGGCAGGCATGGTGCTGGAGCAGTAGCTGAGAGCTCCTGTGGGATCCACAGGAAGCAGGCAGAGACTGGGATGAGCCACTCCTCCTAATCCTTCCCAAATAGTTCCACCAACTAGAAGCCAAACACTCAAAATCTACGAGCCCCTGAGGGCCATCCTCATTCAAACCAGCACACTTAGTCTTTCCCTTGTAGCCCCTACTTCCTCAGCTGTACACCTGGATGGTGGATGGGTGGTTTGGGCAGGGAAGAAAGGGAGAAATTGAATGCTTCCTCAATGTCAGGGTTCTGAGGCAGATCATAGTTATACAATTAGCTGGTGTTTTATCGTCTACCATATATGACCTAGTGAGTAAATCAGGCTAGAAGTCCTCGCTCTCTGGCCACTTTGAGTTATCTCCATTACTCAGTGTTACTCTGTGTTCAAGAGCAAAGCAACCTGCTGCTGCAAATGTTTTTACTGAAAGAATAAGGAACCTCACTGTTCAGTGTATTGAAATCTGAAGGACTGTTTGCTTAAAAAAAAAAAAAAAAAAACTAAACTAAAACTAAAGAGTATCTTCCTTCCAGATACCTAAGACCACATGGTACCAACTAAAAAATATATTTTCACTTGACACTGCCTTTTTTTTTCTGGCGGCTTGAGGGAAGACGGATGTGCTGCCGTTTTAATTAGAGGAGGAGTGGGCGGGCAATGTGCCTCCATGTTCTGCACACGTTTTCTCTATTAGGCATGGTTTTAATTACATGATATTCTCAAACACCGTGAATCTGTTTGTTCCCCAATAATGCTGATATCTCCTGATTTCTTTTGTATTCTTTTTTCTGTCTCTTTCTCTCTCTCTCTGTGTGTTTCTTTCTGGTGCCGGAATTGGAATCTAAGGCCTCCCTCTCATGTGTAAACAAGCAAGTTATTACCGAGGCACACCTTGGGTTCTGTGTGGTTTTCCTTAATTTGGGTTCTGTGTGTTTTTCCTTCTTAATTTGGGTTGTGTTTGGTTATGGCGGTGGGACTTAACTCAAGACCTTGGCTGCTTGTGTTTTTTGCTTTGCTTGGAGGCAGGTCTCGTGTGTAGCCCAGACTGTATCCACTGTGATTTTACTGCCTTTGCTCCCAGAGTGCCAACAAGCCTTTTAAATCTAGAACAAACCTTTAAAAGAAAAGGAAGAAACCAAACTGAAACATTTCTCCACCTCTCGGGTTCTAGATTTTACAGGGGAAAGATCTGTTTCTGTACCTCCAAAGTCATTTGTTTTGTGATGCATTCTAATTAATAATGAACCCCCCTCTAAGGCCTAGTTTGAAACTCAATCTTGTGTTTTATGTTTCAGTTGCAGTACCTACCTCAGCTAACTAGCAGCAGCATCCTTCCAGCTTTGGACAATAAGAAGTACCCCTGCAGTACCAAGAAATTTAACTACCATTTTCCAAATATTTGAGGAGCTGGCCAAGTGATGAAGAATTGATCAATAATTTGAAGAAAAAAAATGTATACTTTTGATTCCTGTCTTGAACACCCACCAGAAAAAAACCACAAACAGGAAGCTGGAGGCCACTTGCCAAGATATGAAGGGAAATTCCAGATCCAGACTTCCATGCTTGGTGGAGATGTCCGGAGAAGAGAAAAAGCTTGGGGCTTCACTTTGATTTTGTTTATCTAAGCAGTAGCGCTTATGAACAGAAAACAAACTGTATCTAATTGCCCACAACCACAGCATCAGATGGTGTCAGGAGGTTATGCCACATTCGGAAAGTAGATCCCATGTCCATTCACAGTTCTTCAGATCTGTGTTGCCTGGGGTCCTAGCTCCTACAGTTTTCATATCATGTATGATTTTAGTCCCAGAAGGCAAAATGTTGGTGATTCTATTTCCTCTTGGCTCTGTCTTGATTTTGTGTATTAATAATTTTTAAGAATTATCTAAGTTGATAATAATATCTAAAATCATATGGATTATCTTAAAATGTGGTAGTTTTTTATGCTTATGTAACCAATGAGATGTTATACTTCTTCTCACATATACTTCTATCTTTACTCTAAGAAAGGATGCACCAGAAAAGGATAGAACAAGACCCACAGGCCTCACAGAATGGACCTGTCAGCCTGAAAAGAATAATTACCACTTCATTCTTCAGCTCTTAGACTTGAAGACTGTTTGAGCAAAATTTCTGTAATGAGCTGGGTATAGACATGGCGGCTTGCAGTAGCTTGAATCAGGAAACATGTCGGTGAACTGACATTCTTTCTTTGAAGTATCTCTCATCACAGGTACATGTCTGTGAGCACACGCTCATATCCTTGTACCCGTGTGTGCATATACTATGCTAATGGGTACCACACATCTAATAAGTGGCTCAGGAATATTACTGGGAGTTCTTAGTTTAACCAGCGAGACTGAAAATTCAAATTACCTTTGGTGTGGTCTATTCCCTGCCCCTGCACGTGGGCAGTGTGAGCCCCACGTCACGTTCTCACTGTCACGCTGCTGTCTCACGAGGGTTCCCAGACGTGGATGTCAGGGCTCCGTTTTCCCGAGTCTCTGGGACATTTCCTGCGCACTCCCAATTCCTCTTGTCTTCCGTTCATCACTTAGCCCTATTCACTTACCCTATGTAGCTCACTAAATTCTATTGTCTGTTCAATTATCTTGGCTACTCCAAGGCAAAGTAAAGCTTCCTAAATGAGTACAGCTTCTACCACAGACCTGGCAGTGGGTTAAATGACAGCTCCAGTATTATTCAGTTCCTCTTAAATAAACAGCCATGGCTTAAATGACAAGGAAGGATACAAACTTCTGCGAATAGTTAAAATTGCCTCTCTTTTACCCCCTGAAATCAATAAAAATGTATTTGATGGAAGCTTATGACTGTAACTGCCTAATTTATCCACTAATTTTACAGAACTTATTAGAGCAGCAGAGTCACTCCAGATGAGATCACAGTGAGGTTGCTGCTGGGCCACAGAGCACTGAAACAAACTGAAGAAAAGGGCTTGTCTTTGCTCGACGTAGTTTATTATGCTTATGCTCAATGGAGCCACTTCTGAGCGCCTCCTGTTACACATGGAGTCACCAGATACCACACACACACACACACACACACACACACACACACACACACACACACGACCATTCTACATGTGTTCACCTTGTCTTTGCTTTTATTTGCTGTTTTCTGACTTGTAAATGACAGTGGCATATGTAATTTGTACTTTCCTGGGAATTAGGGTGTTTTTCTATAAGCATAGTTTGAAATACAGCTAAAGCTCACTTTTCTGCTTGAAAGCTGTACTGCAAAATGTCACTCACAGTCAGACTTATCTTCAGCAAGACATCCACCCATACATATGGAAACCTACACACGAAACAGCATGCAACTAGTGGTGGACTTGTAGGTCCTTCCAGTATAAAAATTAAAGACTAGTTTTGATCCACTTACGACATCTTTATTAGCGTTTCTGAGATATAAAATTCATTTTTATATTATATTTTTATGTCCCTTGAGTTCACAGATGGTAGCATTCAAAATATTTGAAGGCTAGCAAGAGTAGCTTCAATCAGCATGCTAACATTTCCTGTTTGAAGCAGATGGGGAGTAAGGACAGACAGCCTTACTGTCTGTTTTACCAGCAAAACTGGTTGGGTAGAGACAAGTACCTGTGTTCAGTTTTAACCATAAGCAGCCCAAGGTTAAATGTAGGATGCATTAGCCAGCACCTTTCCATCGGCGAAAGGGACTGTGAGAAGTATGTGCTATTGGGAACGTGGCAATGCAGGAGCTTGCGCAATGCACGCAAATCCTGGGAAGCAACACAGCACTCTGCTCTTAACACACTGACGCCTTTGCCCCACAGACTCCATCGGGAAATCTGTCACTGAGCGCTCAGGTTTTCATACTTGTACGCCTACAGTAACATGCTTCAGTGTGATGTAAATTATTATAAAGAAAAATATTTGCATTGCAGTGTGAATAACTGCCTCAATATCTGCACCAAGCAGTGTGTGTGTGTGTGTGTGTGTGTATACACACACAATATATATATAGGTATATATACTGATATATATCAGTGAGTAATACATTAGAGTACAAATGCTATGTCATATTTTAATATGATTCAATGTACATAATTTCTTCCAACTATGTAACGTCAGTGAGTCACTTGTGACATCCATTTCTAAGTCATCATCACAGTTTTATTGGTGATTATATACTATTTGTAGCTATTTAGTATCAGCAACTTCAAGTGACCCTTTATGGTAAAAGCTGACACTTATTTCACTTCAGGTTTAACTTCAGTTCTAGAGAAGGCAGTGCTACCTTCAGGAGGTGAGCGAGGTTTTCTTTATCTTTTATTCCAGGAAGATCACTTAAGAACAGATACCTGAGGTTCCTGCGAATAGAGAAAAGGCAGTCATTGCAGTGTCCCTTTCATCCGAATTCAGCCTGGTGGCTTTTGGAGAGAGGAACCATCACCCACACTTCCCAGATGGCTTCAGGGCAATAGTCTTGTGGGGTCACTTTAAAGGAGGCTCGTGGAGACTTGGAAATTATAACTTCCTTATTTCATTGATATTTCTGAGTTTTTTATTTCTATACACATATAAGACAGATCTCCTTTGTATGTAAACTATTAATAATAATGCCAACAACACCCCCCATGGGTAAGTTCTTAAAGGTATTCAAGTTTCTGCAAGAGGAGCAAGACTTCAAGCCTCAGCTGGTATTAAGAGATAAATGGCTGAGTACTTTTGGTTTTAACGTTTCGAACATCTCAAGCTGCCTGTGATACTGAGATTACTGGTGGATCCATTACATATTAAAACAGAAATACACCAAGCAGCTTCAGTCTGAATGTAGGATGAATAAAACAGGATTAAACGAAACAGACTTCATGCTCGTGTCATTGTCTGGTAGGATCCAGAACCCTGCAATTCCCCTTCCCGCCATCCCCTCCCCGCTTGCTGAAGACTGCACCAGGGCATGGCCCACGCCAAGCAGGCGTTATACCTACACCCCTGGCCCACCCGAACCCACACAACGACACACTCTTTGCTGGAGTTCACCCCTGCTTTTGAGATGCGACAACTCAGTCACTGCTCTACCAAATGCCATTCGGATACCCAAACCACAGGAAAATGTGGTTTAAAGGCGGAGGGACCATAACAGCTTTCTCTTAGGGGCTTATGGTAGGCACTGAGGGCTTTATGTTACTTTAATTAAAAAAAAAAGGCCTTAAAAATGCAATAAATCCATCATCATATTTAGGCTGATAATTTTGAATTTTAAGTGAAAATGAGGCCAGGCGTGGTGGTGTATGCTTTTAATCCTAGAACTTAGGAAGCAGAGGCAGGCAGATCTCTATGAGTTCCATGCCAGCCAAGGCTGAATAAGAAAAAAAAAAAAAAAAAAAAAAAAAGAAAGACAGGCAAAGAAAGGGGGTGTATGTATGTAAGGTGTGTGTGTGCGCGCGCATGCGTACAGGTGTGCACACAGATGTGCATACACAGAGGCTTGTAGAGGGTGTTGGGTATGCTCCACTATCTCTCTTTTCCTTTGTTCTTTTGAGGCACAGCCTCTTGCTGGACCTGTTTTTCAGCTAGCCTGTATCCAGGAACACCTAGCACCCTTCACTTACACCTAGCACTGTACCCTCATCAGTGCTGGAGTTACAAGTGTGAGCAGGCAACATACCTGGCTTTTATTTGGGTGCTAAGAGCCAAACTCTGCTCCTTACGATTGCAGAGCAAGCATTCCTAACTTGTGAGTTAGGATCATATTCTTGTGGCTGGGGAGATGACTCAGTGGCTAAGGGCACTGGCTGCTCTTCCAGAGGACTCGGGATTTGATTCCCAGCACCCACATGGTGGCTCACAACCATCTGTAACTCCAGCTCCAGGGACCCACTGCCCTCTTTTGGCCGCTAAGGCCGCAAACACATGGTGTACCGTCATACATGCAGGCAAGTCATTCATATACATACAGTAAGAACAATATTTAAAGTGTATTTTTAAAGTGTATTTGTTACAACTACAGGCATCACCTCCCAACCCTTACATAGTCTGATTATTCCCCGTATCAAGTTTTTGTTTTGGTTTTGACCACTTACCTAAAATGTTGCAAAGCAAGGATGCCGGTGTCTGTGACATTCCCACAAGCAATTATTTCCATTTCCAACAAGCTTTTTTGTAATTTTTCAAGTTGACTAAGTCTTTTCAAACAGCTATCTTCAATATAATGACACTTGCTTAGTGTTATTTTCTCAACATGCTCGAGGCCCTCTGGGGGTGGAAATGTATAGTTAGGACTCTGTCTGACTAGTACCATGACCAACAGTCCTTGGTTCTCCTGGCGTTCAGTGAACCTGGCGTTCACTGTCCTATGAAAACGGAAGTAACTGCTCACCCTGTTAAGCATATAATATGTTCATTACACAGAACATATGTGCTGAAGGAAGGGCCACTCTCAGAACATACCCTTGCATTGGAAAAAAGAGCAGAAGCTATCTAGATAGGAATTAGTCTTCCATCACTGAAGCATGCACAGAGGCATACATTTGATAACGACAGCTTCACAAAAGTCAAACAGACTTTGATTTTAAGTGGAAAGAATACACAAAGAAGCTCATGAGTGAGAGAGGAAAAAAGGGTGAATGTGACCTCTCTTTACTTTGAAGCTCAATATCAAACACAGGAATAAACAAACAATTTTACTGAAACGGGCAAAGAGCAAAAACATGCCCCTATCACAGTGAGTCAACTCTTAACAAAACATTCATGCATGTCCTAACTACCTGCGAGTCCTAAAAGCAAATGACAGGGACTTACCCATGTGAGCCAATCCGAGGCCCATGATACAAGAATCGGTGGCATCAATTGCTTGAATCTTGTATCTGTCCAAAGGGCCTGTTGGGAGGTTGTTATAGTCCTGTGTCCACTTCTGTTGGCCACAGTAGCGTACTCTGGCCCCGCACCGAAGCAGCCACTCAGATGCTGCCCTGTCAGGGCCAACATCCCGAATGCGCTCATAATCTACTCTGTTGATAAGGAAACAGAAGTCGTTCACTTCCACTGTCACCAGCTCCTGCGCTCTATTCACCAGCATAAACATGGACCAGCACTGGGTAATGATGGTGGTGCAAACCTTTAATCCCAGCACGTGGGGAGGCAGAAGCAGGAAGATCTCTGTGAATTTGAGGCCAGCCTGGTCTACAGGGTGAGTTCCAGGACAGCCAGGGCTACACAGAGAAACCCTGTGTCAAAACAAACAAACGAAAACAAAAAACAATAAACAAACAAATAAGGACCAGAAATACATTTTCCTTTCAAAGCAAATGAAAGCATTTCAAATGCTTTTAGGACTTGCACATGCATGAATGTTTTGTTAGAGTTGACTCACTGTGACAAGGACATGTTTTTGCTTTTTGCCCATTTCAGTAAAATTAAGTAAAAATAAAAACTGTAGCTCTTTCTGTTCACTTTTTCTTTTTCTTTTTTTTTTTATTTCTTCTTTTCTTTTGCTTTCGTTTTTATCTCTAGGCAAGCTCTAACATGATATATCAACATAATTACTTGGAGGCAGAGTCTCACTGTGTCAGCCAGGCTAGCCTTGAACTCATGACCTTTCTTCCTTTACTTCCTCAGGGGTGAGATTACAGGTACATGTTCATCATACCTGGCATACTGAGATTTTATTGATTGTTTTGGTTCTGGGGCTTGAACCCAGATCCTTCCTACGTCAGGCAAGAGCTCACATGTCACGGAGAGTAGAGATCCCTATCACAATACAGTATTGATCTGGTAACCGCTTTCATTCCTGATAAAAAATGAAAGAGAGCCCTGTGCGGTGGCTCACAGTTAATCCCAGCACTTGGGAGGCAGAGGCAGCTGGATCTCTGCATTTCAAGCCAGCCTGATCTACATACTGAGTTCCAAGACAGCCAGAGCCACATAGAGAGACTTGGTCTCAAGCAAACAATTAAGGAGGGAATAAGTTTGAACCCATTTCAATTTAGTTTCCTTGTACTATTTACTACTTTCTACAAATGCCTTTTTCTCTACTTTGCATTAAGCAGTGAGAAACCGTTTATTATACCTGTTTCAATATGAGAATTCTACAAGTATCCATATACTAATTTTTATTTATTTTTAATTTTTATTTATTTTATTTTTACTTCTTTTTGTGTTGTCCTGACTGTTCTGGCTCACATGTAGACCAGGCTGACCTGAACTCATAGAACCTCATTTGCCTCTGCCTCTCAAGTGTTGGGAAGGAAGGCGTGAGCCACCACATCCAGACACACTAAGCTTTCAAACACCAGAGCGCTCCTCGTTGTTCTCAACAGGCTGAGAACATTCCTCAAGAAGCTAGAGAACATGCTATTGCAAAGTTACATATGTTGTTGAGTGTACAAGGAATAAATACTCATTTTAGAAAACTTGAAGGGCATCAACAGACAAATAAGCAAGAACCCACTTGGGCTGGAGAGATGGTTTACTGGGTAAGAACACTAACCACTCTTGTCGAGGACCTGGGCTCAGCCCCCCAGCACCACATGGTGGCCCTGGTGCTTTCTGACCTCTGTGGGCACCAGGCACACACGTGCTGCACATAAAGCAGAAATAAATAAGTCTTAAAAGAAAAAATGCCGATATTCTGTAACTCAGACAAGCAAATTTAATATTTTGTAAGCTACTTTTCTGTTTAAATACATTTTATTATTTATAAAAATTAGGATATACTACACATATTATTCAAAAGAAAAATAATTTAACACAAGAAATAACCAACTAGCCAATGAGCAATTTAGAACCTGTCCAGTGGTAAAAATTCCCACATTTCTTCACGTACTTAGGCTGTGGTGAAGCACTCTGGAGGCAGAGGCAGGGGGATCTCTGTGAGTTTGAGGCCAGCCTGGTCTACAGATTGAGTTCTAGGACAGCCAGGGCTACATAGAGAGACCCTGTCTCAAAAAAACAAAAGAAGAGGTGGAGAGATGGCTCAGTGGTTAAAAGCACCGACTGCTCTACCAGAGGTTCTGAGTTCAATTCCCAGCAACCACATGGTTGCTCACAACCATCTGGGATGGAATCTGATTCCCTCTTCTGGTATCCATGAAAACAGAGCACTCATATACATAAAAAATAATCACTTACTTATTAAACACTGTATTCAACCATTGCCAGAAATATCTTGAGTCACATGACCATGGGATTTTCTTTAAGCTGCAGAGCTGCCTGGAAACTTTTCCAAACATCGTCACTGATCTAGACACACAAAACAGTACTCTTGTGAAATCATGAGCTGGCGAGCAGAGAGAGTCCCACACATCTAGTAACTGACTCCACAGCTTCAGTATCAATAGAGCTATGCTATTGACCAATCACCCCTGTCTCTACTTTTGGTTGTGGCTTGTTTCTCATTTGCTGAAAATGAGAAGTTGGTACTACAAGATGTCTGAGGTCCATTCTGGCTTAACAGTGTTTGAACCTTAATTTGTACGCAGTGCTGCCCCCTACTGTTTATTCCCTGGAACACGGCTCCACTCCTAGTACACATTTCAAAAACAAAACCATGAGCTATCGTTCTGTAGGGAACAGCGTGACGCGTGTGCAGTGTTCCCAGCCAGGTGGGGAGGGGAAAAGAAAAGCAGACCTATAAAGACACAAGTGGGTCAGCAGAACGCACAGACAGACCTAGGAATGGCAGCCGAGGGAGCTGGGCGAGAAATTTCACATCTCTAACCCTGATTTTCTCCTTTGTGAAAAGAGATAATTTGTTTGGATGATTGTCAGCCATGAACAGCTGAGAAAATAATTTCTGGCAAGGTCTCCATTGATTTATCTCAATTCAACTTCTCTAACTGTGGGCCAGGTGTGAGGATTGGGGGTTCCAAGAAAAGTGAAATGTGATCTCTGTCTTTGAGGAAATTACAAATGAATCCAGGGAGGAATAGCCCAAGACAAGTTACCAAGTAGTTAAAATAAATGACAAGACTTTTAGTTTAAAATAGCTAAAATAAGGACCAGGGTGATTTAAGCCAGCAAAGTTAGGCTAAGGGTTTAAGCCAAGGCAGGAAATTAAGGCAAGATGTAGACCAGTTTGGTTTATACATGGAGGTCATGAAAAGAAGAGCCATGGTCACACTGTACTATCAGATCACAAGAGGCCTCGCAGCCAGGATATCTGGACTATATTCTGCAGACAGCAGGGAGTCCCTGGGCTATCAGAACAGAGCACCGCCATTGTTAAAGCTATACTCCGGGAAGTTTACTCAGACAGCAGCAGCAAGAACAAAGGTCAAGTCAGGCATGATGACATGTTCCTATGATCTTAGGTATTTCAGAGGCTGAGGCAGGAGGATCATTTGAGCACAGGAATTTGAGGGTAGCCTGAGCCATATAGCTACAGTCTGCTTCAAAATAAATAAGTGAACATAGAATGGCACAGAAAGAGCTAACAAGCACCTCATAGGGTGGACCAATTCACAGAAGGCTGGAATGACATTAGAGCTAAGAATCCATATGGCTCAGTAAGGGACATACAGAGACAAGAGCTAGAGGTCTTACAGATGATGCTAAGCTTTGGTCCTGTATCACTGGTAGAATAGTGATGCCATCATCAGAAGCCAGGATCAAGAGGATGACTCACTGAGTAAAGTACTTGCCACAAACCTGAGGACCTGGTTCAGATCCCCCGCATTGATGAAAAAAGCCCATGTGGCAGCATGCGGTAATCCCAGTGGTGAGGAAGTAGAGACAGATCCCTGGCTGGCCAGCTAGTCTAGCCTAATGGGCGAGCTCCAGGAGCAGTGTGAAACCCTCTAAAAAAAAAATAAGGTGGAAGTGTAACAGGGCCCCAGACCTTAGCACAACTGACTCTAAGATGGAAGTACCATTTATGCCATAAAACTCAGCATGTAGACAGTGCATCTGCCAAAGAAAACATAAAGACCTGGTCTATCAAAGCCCATAGTTACGGGGAAGTCTCTAAATGTACTAACCTCGCATTTTAGTTTCTGCAGTTCCACTCTGGCTAACTGCTTTTTAACTGGAGCACAGCAACCCAGAACATGGTTTTTGTGCTTAAAAGTTCACCCTGAGAAAGGCTCAGGGTTACAAACACCAGGAACTCAAACACTCAGTGTAGTCACTGGCTAGCTAATAAAGACTTTATTGGCCTAAACCTGAGTCCAAGCAGGCTTTTCTGGTGGATACTGCACGACAGAAAGTGACCGAGGACCCTCAATGCTGACCCTGGTCTCCACATGTTAGCACATACATGTAAGCACAAATGGACATAGACACATGAACACATACACACCAAGGTATGAGAACAAGGAACAGAGTTATGGGTTCAGGGTTTTTTCCCTTTCCGTTTTTCACATTTTAAATATGAAGTGTTGGCAGGATTCCTAAGGGAAGATGATCAACAAGCTCATTGGAATCAGAGTCACCAAGTGTTAGGTCTGGAAGCAACTTAGGTCAGCTACATGAACCCTCTCATTTAGAGATGAGGAAACTGAGCCTTGATATGAAGTAACATGCTGACACTCTAAATCCTTTCTGGAACAAGGTGGGGCATTAATAAATGCATGCTCTAAAGGAACTTGCTCAGTGTTTCAAAGCTAATTTGTATCTGTGTTGCATTTGAACTAGTACTCTTTCCTACCAGTCAGGGCTCTGAAAGGTTCTAGAACTCAAGAGAGACCTGAAAGATGGCTGAGCGGGAAGCATTTCAAAGCTGAGGAAACACCTCTTTGAGATAGGAAACCTATCAGAAATACCTACCGTTCTCATGCCTCTCTTCTACTCTCCTCTTCCATTTTCCCCCACCCCCACCCCCTTTTGGCAGTGCTGAGTATTGACCTCACGGCAGAGCACATGTTAGGTAGGTACTCTGCTCTTCAATCGACTCGGTCCCCATCTTTATCTCCATCTTTCTACAAAGGCTCTCTTCAGCACCACAAATCTCTGTCTCTGCTTACATTCTAGTCAGTCTTTCCAGAGTTTCGTCACAACTCTGTCCACCTCTGCCCATCTTGAGCAACTCCTTTGTTGCCAATTTTATTTACAAATCTGGGCTTTCTCATCTTCTCCTCTGGCTATTCCCTCTATTATTTCTACCCCTAACCTCATCTTGAAATCTTACCTAACCTCTCATTTAAAGGCCATACCCATCTATTCATTCATCCATCCATTCATCCACTCATTCATTAATTCATTCATTCATAAATGCTCATAAATGTTTGCTATTCTTAGTACAAACTAGCAATGGTGAGATACAGCAGCAACAAAAGACATGCAGAGAAAGATCCCATCCTGTTGTTCTCTTAGAATCTATAATTAAATGGAGAAGACAGATGATATGCAAACACAAATATCCAATATAGTACCTTGAGAGCCTGAAAAAGGGGGTGAGAGAAGGCTTCACACCAGAGTTTTTTGTTTTGTTTTGTTTTTTAGGAACTCAAAACACACAGATAACTTATTGTACATGAATTACATAATTTGCTGTACATAGTTTATAGTACACGTACAAGCCTTTGCTTACTGGCAAACCATGTGTAGGCCTGGTCCCAGATGGGGCCTGAAAGAGAGTATTGGAGTTACGGCCACCATGTGGGCACCGAGGATGCTCACACCTGTGCTCTCTGGAAGAGGAGTCAATGATCTTTATAGATGATCTACCTCTCCAGCCCTAACGGTGACTGACTGAGACTGGAACGTGATGTTTTGCAAGCGAATGCCCAGAGCTGACATCTAGTAGCTTCCCTTTGTAAAGCTAATATTGGAGAAGGTGTGTCAAGACAAGTTCTTGGAGCAAGACTTTTTAATGAATATATTTTACAAACATCCTTGAGAACCATGCAATGCTGCCTGTATTGGATGTAGTCCTGCACAAGTCTGCACATTCCTTTGCAACCAGACCTGTAAAAACAGAACCTTTCATCTCGCCTTTATTACTATGACCCTGCTTTATCTTCAAAATAAAGAAACACCCCATCTTTTCTTTGCTGTAACTCTCTTTGTTGAATTACCACTGCTGAGAGAAAAAAAATGGAGCCTTTTCCTTAGTTCTGGTTTGCCTTTCTTAACTGGCCATCACCATGTCACCCACACCAGCAGCGGGAAGTCTATTCAGCCGTCCCTTGACTCCCTTCACAGAGATGATATACACATTTTTGGCTCCTGTATTGCCAGCACAGTTGCTCACAGCCCCTGCCGGAAGACCCAGGGAAATCTGGAATTTCACTCTAGAGGATGGATCTACTACATCCTTACTTCAACATCTTGAGTACCCAAAAAGAGTCAGAAAGCCAGAGAATTTTTTCTTTTAAGACAGGTCTTAGACAATGATTAAGAAAATTTCAAGTAGCGTGTGATGGTACACTCCTTTATTCCCAGTAGTACTTGTAGGCAGAGGCATGAGATCTCTGTGAGTTCAAGGGCAGCCTGGTCTACATAGTAAAATCCAGACCACCCAGGACTACACAGTGAGTCCCTGTATCACAAACAAGAGTTTTCAATCAGAAAGATTAAGGGAGGGGGAGACAAGCAGAGAGAAGGGTGGTGGGGAGCAAGCAGAGCTAAAGGAAGAACAGGGACCATTTGCTTCCTCTTCTCAACACAATGCAAACATTTAACAGTGTCTGTTGGTTCACAGTCTTTAGTTGGCCTCCATGTGCAAAAGCCAAGGCAGAGAAGCTGTCACTAAGCAGGTGAAATACAAAGTCTCCAAAAACTGAATACTTTTGCTGGATTCATTTTGGTTCATTTTCTAATTGAGCTTCAATAAAGGCAAGGCTTTTTTAAATTTTATTATTTTGGCTATGGTTTCTGAAAACATTAAATGTTTTCCTTAAAATGAGTTATGGTAAAATTAAATTTATATCCAGAAATAAAGGTTTAGAAATCTGGTGGGGTTTTACATTCTCAACTTTAAATTTGCTAACTGACATCTGAGAAACACTTCCTGCTTGAAACAAAGCAGCAAGTAGTGGGGGTGATACTGTCTGGAGAGAGGAGACCTCTAGTGGTGAGTTAGTGATTATAACTCCAGGGAATTAAACCAGTTAAAGGCAAATTAGAAGACAGCTGTTGCTACGTTATATGTTACATGCAATAAGTAATTTAGAAATTTAAATTATAAAAGAAAACACACTTCCATTTACTATCAGAAGAAGCCCTAAGTTTATTACAGTATCTCTAACATTTGCAATTATGTTTGTGAATTAATAAAGGCCAGATCTCTAATGTGTTACTAC